AATCAAAAATTTACTGATAGAAAAGTTTATGTCATAGTAAACCAGAAGTTTACTTAGATATAGCACATGCCATGATAAATTTGAAATTTTCATTTGCCATTTTTAAATGAGCTATTTGAGAATTTAGATAAGAATATACTAAAGAACTAGAAGATTCTTCAAGAATTCTCTTGTGTTGCTTATTCTCATAATAAATTGATTATACTAGCTAAAGTTGAGACTAAAATCCCTGAATTCTGAAATATATAAAAGATGAATATGAGCCCATTCAACTATCGTGTGAACCACTTATAGATGCATATATGAGATGGTTATATGTGTGTTTATTGTCAACTTGCAGTTTGGCATTTGAAATTGCCTTTCTCAATTAAGAGCATAATTTTCAGATTATGAAATCAAGATAGTTCATCTTGATGATGCTGGTTTATATCCAAGCTAGTTTAGCATTGAATACCTCCTATTAATGGCTAAACTATTGCTTATGAGAGCAAAGCCTCATATATTGGTCTAAGATTTTTTTAAATTGCATACAACAACACTTGTATGCATCAGACCAATAATATATGATAAGTCCTCCCCTCACAATTGGTTTAGGATCAGGAACCAAATATTTTTACTATTTAATAACTTTTGATGTGTGGTATATAATTAATTTCTCAACCACAATGCATAAATATAGGTTTTTCAAAGAAGATTGGGGATATGTGTTAGTTTTTCTAACATTTGGGGATGGAACAAACAGCTGAAAAATATGTTATATGAATCGAATTATCATTAATATGATCCTCACTTAGAAGATAACTCAAGTCAAATGCCAGAAGCATTTGCTGATCCAAAATTAAATATGATATTACAGGTGCAAATGCTCCTATTAAAATTAAAGTCCCTGAAGGATAAAGTTTACTGCACGCATGAAGTGTAGTAAACCGATCGGTTCCAAAGGTAACAATCCTTGAAAAATGATAGGAGCAAATGATCAAAATGATCATAATGAGGAGGGAATGAGCTCTAGAAGAGCCCACGACATAACATTTCATGAAGCTCCAGAAGAAGTTCAGGTACCTGAAAATAAGGAAAGTGATGAGATCTCAACAAGTTATGTCGCTTAGGAACCGATACAAAACGATCGTCGACGATATATTTGATACAATATAGTTCACAATATTGTAAAAGATTATGAGGATCGGACCTGTAGTCCAGACACCTGAAGATGTCATGCCATTTAAATGCAAGCCATAACCTATATGACTCATTTGATTAAGTCTATGTGAAGATCCCTGAAGGATTTAAAATGCCTGAAGCATATAGTTCAAAGCATCGTGAAATGTATTCAATCAGATTACAAAGTTCTTTGTACGGTTTAAATCAATCTGGGCGCATGTGATATAATCGCCTCACTGAATTGATGAATGAAGGTTATGTAAATGATGGCATTTGTCCATACTTTTACAAAGAAAACAACATCATAGTTTGTTATATTTGTTGTTTATGTTAATGGCATAAATATCATAGGAACTCCATAGGAGCTCCAAAGGGAAAAACTTTGTCTTAATCTGCAAATTGAATATTTAGCAGATGTGATCTTTATCCATCAATCTGTCTATACAGAAAAGGTCTTAAAACGCTTTTATATGGATAAAATACACCTATTAAGTACACCAAATGGGTGTTCGATCACATGAAGTGAATAAGGATCCGTTTCGACCTCTAAAAGAGGATGGGGAACTCCTTGGTTCTGAAATACTCTATCTCAGTGTAATTGGTGCACTTATATATCTTGCTAATGCTAACAAAGGTGGTGCAGATCATATTGGTTGTACAGATGTAGGTTATTTATCCGATCCCCATAAAGCTAGATCTCAAATCGGGTATGTGTTTACATGTGGAGGTACTGTCATATCATGACGCTTCAAAAAGCAATCTATTACTGCTACTTCTTAAATCATGCTGAGATAATAGCTATTCATGAAGCAAGTAGGGAATGCGTATGGTTGAGATCAGTGATTCATTTTATTCGAGAAAAATGTGGGTTGGAATGTGATAAAAACCCCCCACAATATTATATGAAGACAATGCAACATGCATAACCCAATTAAAGGATGATTTATAAAATGAGATAGAACGAAGCACATTTCACTAAAAATATTCTATACATGATCTTCAGAAAAATGGTGACATCGATGTACAATAAATCCGTTCAAGTGACAATCCGGCATATTTGTTCACTTTGCCAACTTCAACTTTTGAGAAGATGGTATACAAGATTGGAATGCGGAGACTCAAATATTTGGAACAAGGTTTTCATCAGGGGGAGTGAAATACGCGTTGTATTCTTTTTTCCTTACTAAGGTTTTTCCCATGGGGTTTTTCTTATAAGGTTTTTAATGAGCCAGCTAGAATTGCGTATTACTAAATATGTGTACTCTTTTCCTTCACTAGGATTTTTTCCACTGGGTTTTTACTAGTACGGTTTTAACGAGGCACAATATCTTTTAATGAACATCCAAAAGGGAGTGTTATGAATATATTATATTATGGATGTTCATTTAGTACTCTATTGTAAATAAGCTTCCTGAAGAATCTTATCCATATGGGACTCCACCGTAAATATGTTTATCTATTTAGTACTCTATTGGAAATAAGCCTCTTGAAAAAGCTTATCCTTTCGGTACTCCGTTATGGATAAATATTACCTCTGGTAGAAGATTATCTATATCTGGTACAGTAGCAGCTTACATAGCAACTTACACAGCAGCTTATAATAGCAGCTTACAAGCAGCTTGCAGTAGTAGCTTACACAACAACTTCCTTTCTTCTATAAATAGAGGAGAATTCAGTTCATTATGTACATGAGTTTGAAGTTGAATAATATATCAATCTCTATACTTGTCTTCGGTTTATTTACTTTACAGTTTTATTTTATAACATTTTTTATATAAATCCAACAAATTTCTTTTCTTTCTTCCACGCGGGCAGCATCCCTTCATTTTCATTCACACCTTAAAGATATTTAAAATGTATGCATGTTATAAAATCAAACTAATTCACAACCCACTGATGCTAAATCTTGATAAAACTACTTGTCCGAGAGAGTAAGCTTAGCTGGCTATTTACGTATGTGTCTCGTATTACTATATTATTGGTTGGTCAGTGATTGAACAATAATTAATCATATCAGTTTTCCTATTGAACTGAAAAAGAAAGATAAAGTTGGTGACTCATAATGTTAAACAACAGTCTTCTATTTCTAAATTCTAATTAAGGAGGCTAAAAAATATAATGACAAAGCAAGCCACGAGATTTGACGAAAAAGTGAGTGACATAAGCACATAAGTCATCCTTGTTATTGCTCTCCCTGCTAATATGTGTAAGGTTGTTACTTTTCACTTCGTTGTGTTGTGAAATATTATAAATATTCCAACTACTATACAGAAAAATAAAAATAAAAAGGAAGTTCAAAAGAATCAACATTGACGGCCGAAATGCATTCAACCATGACTGCAAAATAGCGACCAATAGAAAATATGAAGAACTTTTATTGATTTTTATTTTATTTTTATATAATATTGGTCTGAGATGAACTTAAATGAAGCGAAAATTCAACTTATTTGAGATTGAAACGTAATTATTTTTGTTGCGTATTCATTTATGCTAAATCTAGGAAAAAATTCATTTTAATTTTGAGTGTTTTGCCGGTACCATCCAGCAGTGACGAAATTTTTCTTTCTCAAAAGAGGAGCAAAAGAAAGGTAAAGGGAAAACTTATGAGACGCTGAAAGTTCTTTGTAGGTGACAAATTTGAGTTTGCTGATATTGCTGCAAATGTAGTGCCATTTTGGCTTGGAATTATTGAAGAAGCCTCCGCTATTGTATTGGTAATTTTTCCCTTGGAGAGATAATTACATTAACTGCAGCCAAGTTTAAAAAATATCTATTTATTGTTGACAAATTTAGCTCAAGTAATAATATTTTAACAAGAAAATAAATAAAAAATGTAGAGAGAAAGAAAGAACCTTAAGAATTAACTAATTTACAACATTTATTTATTTTTACAAATATTTTTCGAAGCAAAACAGACAATTGGGCTAACATCATAACTATCAGCACTCTCTCTTCCCTTGAAACTGGGCCATCCTCCGCCTCGTATAATTGCTTAAAGTCGTCGCTTAGCGCGGAGAGAAGGTGAGAATTTAACTTAAAATAGTCGTTGATCAATCACTTAAATTAAAATAGTCGTTGATCAATCACTTAAATTAAAATAGTCGATAAGTGTATAACATATGTAAAATATGTGTATAACCGTGTAAAACTCAATATGTAATCTGTGTATTCCGACTAGAAAGTAAAGAACTCTTACTTTTTTTCTTGCTTCTATCCTTGACAAGGTAGGTTGCTCTGATGGTAAGCACCATTCACTTCCAATCAAGAGGTTGTGAGTTCGAATCACCCCAAGAGCAAGGTGGGGAGTTCTTGGAGGGAAGGATGCCGAGGGTCATTTGAAAATAGCCTACCCTCCCCAGACCTCACTAGTGGGATTATACTGAGTTGTTGTTATTGTATCCTTTTTATAGAACGAGTTTTTTGGACTGTGACAATCTTAATAAAAGGCTTTCCTTTTCTTAGAACTCAACGATGGTGAGAAGATTAACAATAATACTATTAACAATAATACTTTTTATAGAACGAGTTTTTTGGACTGTGACAATCTTAATAAAAGGCTTTCCTTTTCTTAGAACTCAACGATGGTGAGAAGATTAACAATAATACTATTACTTTTTTTAGGTACAAAATAATACCGATGACTTATATATGTGCTCATGACACCAACATTTTCGTCAAATGTCATAACATGCTAATTAATTTTTTGTGCTTCCTAGAAATATAAAACTGATTTCACACTCGAGTCACCAATCCTTTCTTTTTTCAATTCGATGAGGAAAAAAGATATGAATAATTATTGTATAATCACCGACTAACCAACAAAACTGTAACACGAGATATTTCCTTGTAATATTTTCTGCTTTCTTAGAAATATAAAATGCTTTCACACTATGAGTCAACATTTCTTTCTTTGCCTTAATCAATTTGATGAGAGAAGTCATAATATTTATTAATTATTCTACAATCTCTGATCAACCAAACAAAACAGTAACACGAAAAGCATGTGAATATCTTGCTAAACTAGCCTTTCGACAAATATTTTTGTAGCCACACAAAATGTACCTTGAAGTTTGCAAGTCTAGAGTTTCATAGACTTCAGATATTCGGGTCTGAAATTGTTAAAGCCCAAGTTCAGACATATGAAGATTTTTATTTTGAAGTTGCCACACAAAATCTTGAAATTTCACTGGAGGTGTTCATTTGGGAACGGCTGCAGCTTGAAAGCGAGCTTTGAAATGGGCAAGCAATTCATCTCTAGGGGGTAGATATTCCTTGTTTTGGCTGCAGTTAATGTACTCATCTCTCCACGCACAAAAATTTGGAAATTTTTCTCTTGTAACCAGAACAATTCCAGAGGCTTCTTCAAACACTCCCAGCCAAATTCCCACAAAATTTGCAGCAATATCAGCCAACCCAATTTTGTCACCGACAAAGAACTTCTTATCCTTGAGCTCATTGTCAAGAATTTTCAGCATCTCATAAGCTTCCTCTTTACCTTTCTCTTGCTCCTCTCCTTTGAGAAAGAAAGTTTTTCCCACTGGTGGCACCTGCAATAAATTCAAAACTTAACAACAATGACAATATATAATGTCTCAACCCTAACCACATCGAAGTCCGATATATGAATTTTGACTAACAATATTGTTTCCTTTAATTTAAACTCATCTAAATATGCATAAATCCAAGAAATTCTCGGTTTTTTTTCTAACTTCTTTTGATGTGATTTTAATATTACCTTGCCCTTTTAACACATTTATTCACCATGATGATCACACAGCATCTAAAATCGACACAGGACATGACCAATCATATGAAAAATAAAACAGTCAAAAACTTTTAAGTTTCAATAAAGTTTTTACTAAATTCTGCAAAGAGAAATACAAAGCATGAAGACGGATTTTACCTTATCCTCGAGGAACTTAGCCCAGAAACGAGCTATAGCACGGTCATAAGGGTCTTTAGGCAAGATGGAAGGGCCTTCAAAAGTCTCGTCAATGTATTCAAGAATTACCATAGACTCAGAAATGGGCTTTCCATTATGAATTAGCACTGGAATTTTCTTGTGAACAGGGTTTGATTGTAGAAGTAGAGGGCTTTTATTTTGTAGATCTTCTTTTATAAATTCATATTCCACGCCCTTAATCTTAAGAGCCCACTCAACTCTGTGACTAAAAGGGCTATACCAAAGACCAAGCAACTTCACTCCTGCCATATGATATCACTACTTTGGTTCTAAGTGTCTTTGCTTTACTATGTTTAGGAATCTTAATTCTTATGTGGTGGTTAATGGTTCTCTCTTGAGTTGCTTCTTTTATAGAGGAAAAACCAAGGAAATGTCTTGACAGCCAATTAGCAAATGCTTTGACTAATTCAATCTTCTTACTTTACTGCTTCATATTGACCGAAGAGTTATTTTGACATAGATTTTGTCAAAATAAACTTGGCTTTTATTTGGCAAATACATATTTGGCCATAGATTTTGCCTATATTTTGGTCAAATTTCAAATCCCAAAACCAGCGGGCCAAAATATCACTATAATATTTTTTAAAAACTGCCCCAAACTTTGGTATTTTATAAAAGAGCCCACCATTTATTATTTTGTAACGATGTTGCTTCGTCTTCTCGGTCATCTGATAGTGTATCATGTAGCTCATTACAAAAATGATAATTTTGTATCAAATTTATTTATGTTCAGGACTATGGTTTGCGATAATATAATGAATGTTATTAATAATAGTACTGTTGGCTATTTGTGATACTTTTTAAAACTTGTGGGTATAAGTCATCTTTCATATTTTTCCAAACCAAACTTCACCCAAAACAGATGTCCAAACACATTTTCATCTTCAAACCAAACTTCATCTGAATCAGATTTTTCAGAATAAATTTAGAAATCTATGACCAAACGCTAGCTTAAAGATAAGTAGTACAAGCATATACACTGGTAAGAATACCGGAAATTTCAACGCAGTTATCAACCACGCCATCGACGGGATACCGCCGATAAATGATAAATTATATTATATTAATACTTAATTGTTTTGCCTAAAAAGTAAAGTTTTCTCTAAATTGTTCACCGGTGACAATAAAATATATAGTAAATATTTTAATAAAGTAATTTAAATTTCAAAATTGTTAAATCGAGTGAACTAAACATTTTCGAGGCAGACTACCTTGTTTTCAGATTAGTTTCGGGCATTGGTTTGGTCATTAATTTTTTGCAACCTATACCGAATATAAGATAATATTTAATTTGGTACTCATAAGGTAACATATACAGTAGGAGCTTTGGCGTAAGCCATTACATCCAATAGTGTTATGAACCTGTCATTGGACCAGTGTTGGATAATGATGTAGTTGGGCTGAAATACCAAATGGGAGAAGAACTTGAGCCTGGGGATCAACTGCGTAGGAGCAGAAGATTGAAACAGCCCAATAGGCTTTTGGGGGATTTTATATGGCAAGCTGGATGAGGCAAGTGTCAATAGCTGGTTGGTTATAGGGGAATATTATATTGTTATAATAGACATGTCTAGTATCAATAGTGGTATGGTTAACGTGTAATGTTGCATCTCTTTCTCTATCTCTTCCCCACTTTCTTGATGTAATCCCTTCTCACCTCTTACCCTTCTGTTGCAGCTTTTCAATTTCCTTCAAGTTTGTAATTTCCTTTCAGTTGTTGAATCAAATTCCCCTATTAGTTGCTATCAAAAGTTTGATTTACTTCATTGGTGCTTTTATTGTTATCTGCCAAATGGTGGATACTCGACTCAAGCAACTGGAAGACGCGCAAATGGGCATGGCCCGGGAGATGTCGGAACTCCGCATAGCATTTGATGGTCAACATAAATTGATGCAAGAGGTTCTTTCTCAGATGGCTTCCATTGGATCTCAGTTGAACGGGTCCGTAGTAGAGACGTCTCGTTCGAAGACGACTGAGCTGGTTCTGTCCACAAACGATAGTGGTGGTAACTTTGTCGTGCTCCGGCACAAACCTGCTTCTGTGGAGTTGAGTCGGTTCTCCGGCGATCACCCAGATGCTTGGGTTTTTCAGGTTGACAGGTATTTTTCGTTCTACAAAATTCTTCTAGAACAGAGGCTGACGATTGCTTCGTTTTACTTAGACGGGGAGGCTCTCGAATGGCATCGTTGGCTCTTCCGTAACAAACAACTGGTTGACTGGCCTCATTTTGCGACTAAGTTGGTAATTCGATTTTAAAAAAGAGCTGGAAGAACCTGAAGGTCGCTTGGCCAAGCTCCATCAGTTTTCCACCATTGCCGACTACCACGCTCGGTTCGAAGCAATAGCTAATGAAACGGAAGATGTTTCTGAATCCTTGATGCTCAAGTTATTTGTGTCTGGGCTCCATTCGGATATTAAAACGTCAGTTTTGGTTCACAGGCCCAAAACACTTGATGAGGCCATTTCTTTGGCCCAAGCTCATGAGCAGCGTTTGCAGATAGAAAGAGGGCCCATGCAACCTGCTTTTTCTAGAACCCAACCCTTACTGCCTACTCCTCCGTCCAAAGTTATAGTGCTAGCACGCAATGCCTCCACATCGGGCCCTCGAGTGCCCGTCAAACGGCTAACGCCGGCGGAGATGCAGCAACGTCGCGATAAGGGGTTGTGTTATTATTATGATGAGAAATACGTGACAAATCACAAATGCAAATCCCTACCCCAAATCCTTCTGCTTGAAGACGATTCCGAACCACTCATTGCCGAATCCGCACAAATCACGTCGGATGAAATATTGGCAGAGGAACTTTAGTGCTTGGAGTTACAGGCCCAATCGACAATGTCTTATTACGTCTTAGCTGGTGGTCATTCTCCAACAATTCTTCGCTTCAAGGGTCATGCCCATGGTTCCCCTGTTGCTGTCTTGGTTGATGGTGGGAGTACACATAATTTTATTCAGACACGAGCAGCCAAATTCCTGAATCTTACAGTTGAACCCACCACTAATTTTTCGGTGGTTGTGGGAAATGGCCAGCGTTTGCGTTGTGAAGGAGTAATTCATGCTTTTTCGTTTACTCTCCAGGGAACAGACCTCATAATGGACTTATATCTCTTGGGTTTTTATGGCGCGGATATTGTTCTGGGCGGCGCTTGACTAGCCACTCTAGGTCCGGTACTGACCAACCATTCCACTCGCCAAATGGAGTTTTATTTGGAAGGCCAACAAGTTAAGTGGGTGGGTGACCCCCCGGATGATCTGCAACCGGCTCAATTACAAACATTACGCCGATATCATGCCACTGATGCCATTGCTACTTGTTTTTTCCTGTTACTAGTGCATGAGGATTCTGGGGCACCACAGGATATACCTTCAGAGTTAGGGGCATTACTGGATTCACATGCTGTTGTCTTCACCAAACCACACGGAATTCCACCAGTGCGAACAACTGATCATTCCATTCATCTTGCCCCCGAGGCTCGTCCAGTCAATGTCAAGCCCTATCGATACCCTTATTTTTAGAAGCAAATGATGGAATAACTCGTATCTGATATGTTAAGGGACGGAGTAATACAACCTAGTACAAGTTCGTTCTCATCACTAGTCTTGTTGGTGCGAAAGAAGGATGGATCATGGCGCTTCTGTGTTAACTATAGGGCCCTTAATGCCATTACCGTGCATGACAGATTTCCAATTCCCTCAGTTGACGAGTTGTTTGATGAATTATATGGGGCTAAATGTTTCTCAAAGTTGGATCTCTTGTATGGTTATCATCAGATCCGTGTTCGCCCTGTTGATGTTCCTAAAATGGCATTCCGGACACTTGATGACCATTACGAATTTTTGATTATGCCGTTCGGTTTATCCAGTGGCCCATCGACCTTTCAAGCAACCATGAATGACATTTTTCGGCCTCATCTTCGCAAATTGGTACTCGTATTCTTTGATGATATTCTCATCTATAGTTCATCCTGGTCGTTGCATTTGGAGCATTTGGAGTTAGTTCTCAAATTGCTCCAACGACACCAATTGGTTGCAAAGCGCAACAAATGTCAGTTTGGGCAGACCAATGTGGATTATTTGGGCCATGTTATATCTTCAGATGGACTTGCCGTCGACCCCTCAAAAATTTCTATTGTACAACAATGGTCCACACCTAAGTCAGTTAAAGAGGTCCGTAGTTTCTTGGGTATTGCGGGTTATTATAGGCGCTTTATTCGTCACTTTGCTACTGTGGCCAGTCCATTGTCTGATTTACTCCGGAAAGACGCCTTTGTTTGGAATGAGCAATCTCAACAAGCCTTTGAGGACCTGAAGTCTAGGCTTAGCTCTACTCCAGTTCTGGCCCTGCCCAACTTCGATGATGATTTTACTCTGGAGACTGATGCCTCTGGCGTAGGGATTGGGGCAATCCTGTCACAGGAAGGGCACCCCATTGCCTTTTATAGTCAAAACTTATGTCCTAGGATGCAAAAAGCCTCAACTTACCACCGAGAGATGTATGCCATCACACAAGTTGTGGCAAAATGGAGGCAATATCTCTTAGGGCGACGTTTCACAATAATCACTGACCAACCGTCCCTCAAAAACCTCACAACTCAGATAATTTAGACCCTAGAACAACAAAAGTGGCTAGGAAAAATAGTTGGGTATGATTTCACCATTAATTATCGACCGGGAAACAGAATAAGGCTACGGATGCCATGTCTAGACCACCTGAGGCTGGCACATTTTATGCTATTTCTGAGCGTTCATTTGAGTGGCTCGCTGAGTTGATAGAGGCAAACAAAATTCATCCTGAGTTGTTGGCCATCCAGCAGGGCATGGAAAATAAACATACGGATTATGCAGCCTACTCTTTTCGCAAAGGGTTGCTCTTTTACAAAGGTCGTCTGGTCATACCACACGATTCTTCCTTAAAGCAACTTTTGCTTCATGAATTTCATGATTCAAAGATAGGCAGACATGCTGGTGTTGCTCGTACTTTCCTCAAACTTTTACTGGCCAGCAATGCGTAATGATGTTAAGGTTTACATTGCCTCTTGCCAAATTTGCCAACGATCCAAGGACATCAATAAGCTACCTGCAGGTCTTTTACAACCGTTAACCGTTCCCGAAATGGTTTTTGAGGAGATAGCTATGGATTTCATCACTTGCTTGCTGAGCTCTAAGGAAAAAGCCACCATTATGACCGTGATTGATAGACTTTCTAAGTACGGGCACTTTATTCCTTTACCGGCAACTTTCACTGCCCAGTCCGTGGCTGAAGCTTTTGTAGTCCATATCATTAAGTTGCATGGTCCTCCTCGAACAATTGTGACGGATCGAGACCCTCGCTTCCTACATT